CCCGGTTCCATCCACGGCGAACACCACCTCTCTGTTCCGTCCACGGCGGGCACCACCGCCCCGGTGCCTTTCACGGCGGGCACCACCTCTCCCTCACGGCGGACACCGCCGGTCCGGTTCCATCTAGGGGGCCACTTATCAATTCTTGTGATTTTTATCAGTTCGACCCCGTCACATCCCACGTGTCCCATGTCTTCCTACTAAGTCCCATAGGTGTCCCCATCCTGCCGCCTGTGCTCCTACCAAATTTGAGCGTTCTAGGTTCACGGGGACAGGAGTTATCATATTCCGCTCAGACATTTAATTCGCGCAAACCCTATCTTTTGTGGACGGGCTGCGGTACTACCACCTACCATAAGTGTTCCCATCCTGCCGCCTTACCTGCTCTTACCAAATTTGAACATTAAAGGGGACAGGAATTATGAATTTCCGTGCTGACAGACAGACAGACGGACAGACGGACGCGAGCGCTTTATATATAGTAAGGATAAGTTTGTAGTATAAAGAGCGTCCAAAGATGATAACTACTTCTGTGTTGAAGGCTGTCGAACTGTTGGGACAGAAAGGAGCTATTTAATGGAAAACGGCTCAGAAGAATGTTCTTCCCATCTGCTTAGCGAATGCTAATGCAGCCTCTCCATTAATACTTCTAACCGAAAGATTCATCAATTAGGAGTGGGTCTTACACGAAACGTTTCAATGTTTTTTCTTTGTCGTAGAGTGCATATCGGAAATACAGAAATGAGGTATTTAAAAGCGGCTATAGTCTAAAGTTATTATTAAAATATAGAAAGTTTTTTGTCCCACAGAAACAGAGAACCCTCGAAGCAGGTTACCCATTACCTGAACCATATATCAGCTGAGAAACTGTTGCTGAGCACAGAGAGCTCCATAATGTCCTGTACAGTTACCTCCACCTGTACCGGAATCGGTTGTGGTTGTGGGATTTCTGATCTGAAAAGGAAGATAAGTTCACCAAGCTGTTCATTCTAATCTTTTTACTCTAGACCTCTGATTAGTTATTTCATTGCCCGGAAGTGTTTAAACTTACCGTTTTATATGATACGTACCGAAGGTTTGAAAGCGGTGCTTCTCTTCCTTCATTAAACGCTATGTTGGGGTACCCTTTCAGGTGGAGCGAAGGGTGGATAATGTCACTGTCAAGCGGCTTTAATACTGTAGAAAAGATACGGTGATATGCTGTGTAGGTGTCTTCTAGAGTCTCACATCATATCTGAACCGGGTTGGGGGCCAAAATAAATTCCTGTAGATTTCACCAGTACACATAGATGCTTGGGCAGAAGCCTCATTCCCACTGTTTCTGTAAAAAATGATCCCTGGGCATTCAATGGTACATGTTCTTGCGAAGGCGTGAGTAAGCTAATGTGGAGGGCGTTCGTACTATGCCATGTACGTGTTTAAAAGCTCACCGGCACCCGGTAGTTCGGATGCGGCTCAAATAGGGATTGAACAACGCCAGATACCCTACTTTTCTCTTTAACCTATCAAGTTTCCTTTGTGAAAGGCTGTAGGTCTCAGAACGCTCCAAACTGAAAGAAATATCTTTACTGAACTAACCTGCTGTAGTTGGCCATGATTGTGTCGACAATTTCACTAGGTGTCATCCCGGTTTTAGAGCATTGACTTGCTGCCATTCGTATCACAGAAAATATCACTGTTAAGGGCATCATCCTTAAATCGTCACTTTAAAGCACTCAGGGCTCCTTTTATTTATAATTTATATAGGTACGATTTATTTCATTTTAATATTACCTTCAATGAACACATATAACTTATACAGTAACGAGTAGGACTTTCGAATAAAACCTGCAAAAAACCTATGTAGTGGGAATATTCAGACGAGAGAGAGGCTAAGAGAGGAAGAGGATGAAGGAGGACCAATCTGAGATGAGTGTTTTTGCTTACTTTGAATTAAAGCCATTTGAGCAATGGAATCGATTAGGTGAAACAGAGTTCTGATGCTGTTAAGCCAATGACGGAGAAATTTTGAAAAATAGTCAAAATTCAGAAAATGCAACCTGTTCTCTGGACTCTCATTACACGATTGTTCAACTTGCAGAGAGTGAGTACAGTATCCCCACAGTATGCCCTACATTCACAACCCGGGCCACCAGACAGCGCTGTTTTCCGAACGTTCGAAAAGTGGACACGCCCGTAAATCGGTTTTTTCAAGGGCGATAGCTATTATAAACGACGTTGAGCACTTATTATGCCCTTTTTGAGGCATTTCTGAATGCGTTTCGCCGCATACACCTTATTATAGGGCCGTAGCTTTGCTCTTGTGAGTGAACTACAGAGCCATCTCTTCCTCTATAAGGACGAAGCAGATAAAGCCGAATGTCGTTCAGCATATTTGAACCATAATT